ATATATTTGTTTCATTTAATGAATCTTGTTCCTTATTTTAAAGAAGATAGGAAAAGGATAAGAAGAAAAGAACATTGTCTAGACCAGGGGTGTCAAACTCAAGGCCCACGAACTGGATCCAGCCTGCAGGGTGTTTAGATCCGGGCCACAGGGCCAGTCTGGAAATAGCAGACTGGCCTGGGATGCCTCTGCTAGCAAAAACAGGCTGTGGTAGGGCCACATCCCGTTTTGGCCGGCAGAGTGCTACAGGAGGGCGTCCATCCTATCTCCCCTCTCACATCCACCCCATGGAGGAAAACTACAATGCTGATCTGGCCCTCCAAGAAATCCAGTTTGACACCCCTGATCTTGTTGGTTTGCTAAGACTTGCAAACCAACGATTTTATCAGAAAAGATCTCTTTTTAAAGTGGCTTGCTTATCTAGTTAAAATGATTTTTGGATTGGAAAACAACCATCCCTTGAGTCTTAAAATAAATGCAATAAAAAAAGAACACCAATGTGCTTCACGTGTTAAACTACTACATTTACCTCTTTTTTGAAACATGGAATTCAAGATTTCAATTCTGTTCTTACAGGCCTACAAGGCATTTCCCTCCATGCATAAGGGGAGCTGAAATCTTTCTGCGGGCTGCACGAACATCTCAGTGGGAAAGGACTGCCTCTCAGAGGAATTTTGAAATAATTGAACTCAATTACATGGTAGCCTTATAGGATGACAGTTATTGAAACTAAACTTTTTCTGTTAAACCGTAAGGAAACATACAGTTCGGTTTGCTATGTAGTTTGACATCCCAATCCCCAAAACAGCATCTCTTTTTAAGCTTTGTCATATAATTTGATCGGAATTCCTTTTCCTATACCCTGACATGAAGATCCTGGTTTTAATATACATTTGGTTTCTTTGGTGCTTTTTTTTTTCCAGGTTTCTCACAATGTTTTCTATACTGTTGTCATTGAGAATCATAGTTCACACTTTGGCAATCTATGTCAAGGGTGTCAAACTTAAGGCCCAAGAGGCTGAATCTGGCCCATGGGGTGCTTAGATCTGGCCCGTGGGGCCACCCTGAAAACAGTGAAGGACCGGCCCAAGGTGCCTCTGCCAGTGAAAACGGAGCCCGGGAGGCCCCCCCAAGCTCCGTCTTCACTGGCTGCAGGAGGCTGTTGCGGTTGAAAATGTAGCCCAGGGGCCACATGCCACTCGCCTGTGTCTGTTTTCGCTGGCAGAGGGCTAGCAAAACAAAGTAACAAAGCAAAACAAAACAAAAGGAGAAATGTTTCCCCTTTTTTACATTTGACCATGCAAGATGGAATGAGAAAGGGAAAGAGGAAAGACAAGGAAGGAAGGAAGGAAGGAAGGAAGGAAGGAAGGAAGGAAGGAAG